ATAGGGGAAGGGAAGCAAAAATAATAACAGGGAGGGGAGCAAAACATAAGACACTCTTAAATGTGGAGAACAAACAGAGGGTTGCTGGAGGGCTTGTGGGAGGGGGGAGATGGGCTAAATGGGTAAGGGGCATTAAGGAATCTACTCCTGAAATCATTGTTGCACTATATGCTAACTAACTTGGATGTAAATTAAAATATACAATTTATTGGTTTTTAGGATGTTCACAGTGTTGGGCAACCATTACCTAATTCTAGAACATTTTTTTAATATTTATTTATTTTTGAGAGACAGAGAGCATGAGCAGGGGAGGGGCAGGGAGAGAGAGGGAGACACAGAATCCAAAGCAGGCTCCAGGCTCCAAGCTGTCAGCACAGAGCCCGACGTGGGGCTCGAACTCATGAACTGTGAGATCATGACCTGAGCCGAAGTTGGACACTCAACTGACTGAGCCACTCAGGCACCCCTAGAACATTTTTAACACCCTAAAAAGAAACTCATATAGACTGGTCCCATTAGGAATCACTTCCCTCCTTCTAGCCCCCATCAACCATAATCTACACTCTGTCACTATTTGCCTATTCCAGATGTTTAAAATATATGTAATCACACAATATGTGTCCTTTTATGCTTGGCTTCTTAGCATGATGTTTTCAAGGTTAATCTGTGTCTAGCCAGTATCCATACTTCAGTCCTCTTTATAGCTGAATGATATTCCATTGTGTGGATATACCATATTTTCTTTATCCATTTATCATGTGATTTGGGTTGTTTCCACTTTTTGGTTTTTATAAATAATTCTGGCTATGAGTGTTGGTCTACAAGTTTTTGTGTGGACGTTTGTTTTTAATTCTCTTAGGTATATGCCTGCCAGTGTAAATGGCTTTTTTAAAGGCATAACTGTAAAAAAGTTTTATCTTAAAAATATTTCTCACTTCACTCCATAATATATCTGTCTTAAAAGAATACACAGGAAAAACAAACAAAAAAAGAATACATGGAGTTCTTTCCAGTTACTTATTTAAGCTACTAGTGGAATTCATTAATTTTTCTCCAGAAATCCAACATTAGCCCTGTGGGAGGTGTTCCCTCTGTGGCTCTGCAGCCCCCTGGCTCACTGCCCCCTACATGGGGGGGGAGGGGGGACCAGCGCTTCAGCAGCAATCTCATGGGACATTGGGAATGCAACTCCAGACAGGTGGTGGGTTACCTTTTTGTCAATAAATATTGCTTCTTCTTGAAAGAATCATAGTATCTTGATAAACTAGAAAAGTTTCTCAGAATTCACCTAATCCAATTGTTTTATAAATCTTCGAACCAAGGGATGTCCAAAAGGTTAAAATGCTTGCCTGAGTTCCTATAGCCGGTTGGTTAGGAAACCAGGATGAGAAACCAGATCTCTTGACTGCCAGTTCAGTTCTCTGAGTACTAAATTTTACTTTGTCTCTGTTGTTTGAATTTAAAGTCCTAAAACAAAAAAATAAACATAATTCATTAAGCGGCATTTTCAGGTAAAAGTTTACAGAAAATATTTTCAGAGTTTATAGGGAAAAGCTGACCATCAGCCTTGTACTCATTAATTCACAGGGACAGGGTGGGGGAGATAAGAGGAATAAAGAAACACTATCACTTTTAGCCTGTGCATAAGGAAGAAAGAATTGTAGGCATTTGTAAACATTCAGACAGTCATAAACAAAGGTCAGCTATTCCTATTAGCTTCCCTTAAGAGTCAGCCTTTTTTTCTTGCATGACATTCTAGCATTTATATACAAGTAGTTTTAAAAGGGGTATAAAGATTAAGCATAATTATATTATCCAAGTGTAGTCAAATTACGCAATAGACTATGCAGTTAATCACTTGGATCTCCTAAATGTCATGCTGGATATAGTCTATCCCTCTCACAGTGAGTCAGAAGTGGGAATGGGTTCATTCACTATTTCCAGTAAGCAGCTTACTGCCAGCAGGTGTTGTGACTTGTGGGAAAGGGTAGGACTAGAATGCGTGCTTGTTTGGAGAGTTCAGAAATGTATCCTTGGGCCCTTCCATCGGGCTGTACGTGAGGCCACAGGCAGCTGAGAGTGTTGGCAGGACCACAGCTACCCCCAGCTTAGAGGAGGCTCTTGATCTCCTCTGAGTCTGGTAATATTGCTCCCTAGCACAAAGCTGGAACAGGTGCCACATACAACTGTGGTCCAAGCATGGGTCTCAGCTCTGCCACTCTCTGTGTGATCTTGGGCACATCATCTCAGATGTCCTCAAATCCCCCATCTGTAAAATAAGATGAGCAGGCAGAATAGCTAATTTTTAAAAACTCGTTGGCTTTACAATGTTATGGTTGTACAACCTAGTGGTTTAAGATGTCAAGTATATTGGATATTGGAGGTAATAAAGAGTTCATAAAGTTATAGAGCCATCTTTGAGTCCCATGTGATATTGGGCAAGTACTTAACTTCTGTAAGATTTTACGTTACCCTTAAAGGGGGAGTAATGATAATAGTACATAATCCTAATAGGGCTACTGGGGGCAAAAATGGCATTAATGCAAAGACATTAGCACAGTGCCTTCCAAATCCTAAGATTCAATAAGTATTCATTAGTAGTAAGTAGTAGTAGTATTTTCATTAGAGACATTTTATCTTAATAATGTACTGTTCCCTTTAGAAATGAATAAAATTCCAGCAAATTTTAGTAGTATTATAAAGTATGTAGACTAAAACATTGTTTAAAAGGCTATAATTAACTGATCCTTAAGTAAACTGGAGAGAAGAACCTATAATTTAAATAATGGAGTGGTGGATGGTGAGCATGATGAGGGAAGGAATGGGATACAGAGGTTGATGTTATAGTGCAAGTGAAAGAAATTGAACTTATTTTCTCCTTAGTTTTATTGTTGTCTATGACCTTGTATATTTTTTCTACCTTAATTTGGAAATGAAATCATTTATGAAAAATGTGTCCAAATTAGTGGCTACTGAGAAGTGAGGCCCTTTTTTATTTTTTAATGAGATTATTACTGTTGTTGTTTGTCACATAGAAATAAATAGTAAATCCAATTCTATGTGAGCTGCCTCCTTGTAATTTCTGCTAGTTTTGCAAGTACTATTTTGGTGTGAACCGAGGACTTAGAAGCTTAGTAATTTTGGAAACAAATACTCAGATATTTTTCCTCAGGATGTTGGTGTGAAACTATCCCTGTTCAATAGTGGTTTGCTAAACTAATTGAAGGAATTCATTTAAGATTCTTATTTACAGAATAAGAACGCATTTGTAAAATGTTGTAGGGAAAGTTGGCAACCCTAAGTTTGGTGGTTGATATCTTGGAGAATTAACCCCCTGTTTCTCCAAAGAAGAGAGGAGCTGAGTGTGGATGTGTAAATTACATGATAGCATAGATGAGACTTTTTAAATGGTCATCTCTGAATATGTGTTCTGTGTGTCCCATACCTACTCCATCACCATCTTATCTTACTTGCTTCACTGTTGTAGATGAACAATAAGAAAGGAAATGTTTTGGTTCCTCAAGACAGTCTCTGTGGCTTCTGCTATAAGCAGCTCAAGCCAAAAATGCCTTGTCTCCCATCAAAATTGCTTTTTACAACCTTGTAATTTCCAGTTAGGGTAATGTTCTTTGGTTCCTAATACTTCTTTTATACTTTTTTATAGGAGGCCAGTTGTAAGAACCCCTTACCCACCCTTCTGACAAAAGACTTAGACATGCAAAAACCATCTCTAAAAACCAGGGTAAGTTGTGTCTGCTCCTTTGGGCTACCATGTGAAACATTTAGCAGGGTTATTCATGTCTTCATGATTCCATGCTCTGTGTCTTGCATTTCCTTCAGCCTTTTTCTTTATTTGTATTTTTGGTCCTGGTTGCGTAAAAAGCACTTTTCATTTAGTGCTTTAATCCAAGGTGATATTCATCCCCCAATTTTTAAGATACTCCTATTATTTAAGAGTGATATATTTTAGTACATGGTTTTACTTATATTAAATCAGGATTGTTTTAAGCCTAAATCATAGGAAATAGTCAAATGTAGTAATCTTTCCTTGGTTGTTTGAGGGGTAAAGTGAAATGTTTAGCTGTAATTTCTCTTTTTTTTAAATGGAAGTCACTTTATTGACTTTTCGTAATTATAAAAACAACACACGATCAATTAAGTAAATTTTAACCAGGAAGAAGTAAGAACTGTCATACCTATGACAGAATAGTCTAATGTGTAAAATTTTGTTTTCCTTATTGTAAGAAAAGTCCAAAATTCACATGTTTTGCCAGTGAAAAGAAAAACCCCTTTAACCCAAAATATGTCATGGAAAGTTATTTGATTATTTGTCCAACCAGAAAAGTGATTGCATTAATTTTAGAGTATCTTTCCTAATCTTTAATCTTTTAAGTAGAACTTCTCCTATTAGGTATATAGAATATTCATAACTGGCCACCAGGAGATTTATAGAGCTACTATTTTTCCTAGTTCTGAGAAAAAAAAATGTTCACCAAACTTTGAGTTCACTGTAAGCAAAATTTAAAAGAATTCTTATCTCTGATTTTTAACTGCAAGTTACCATAAAAATAATGGTGGCTTTATTTTTAAAGGCAAATTAAGTATTGAGTCATTGCTTAATGTCTTAATTACAGTAAGTCTGTGGTTTATTTTTAAAAGAAATAAAAACACCTTTTTTTTTAATAAAACCTATTCTGCCTTGATTTTTTTCTGGAAAATTATCGAAACTATCCAGCATGCTTTCCTTTTCAGCTACCAACTATTTTTGGGTTTGTTTTTTTTTCACTGAAATATCTGTGTCTACAAATTTATGTATAATTAATTCCAATGTATCAGAAATTTTATTTATTGTGAATTAATAAAAATTCAGTGTAAAAAATAAACTCATAAACAAATGCCTTGAAAAAATGCATGATTTGAGGAAAATCATTAGGTACCATTTGTTTATTAACTCCTATATTGGTATAACTACCTTTATGTGAAAAGACCCTAAATGAATCACCTCATCGCCTTTAAAAATAAAGCCACCATTATTTTTACAGTAACTTGCAGCTAAAAATCAGAGATAAGAATTCTTTTAAATTTTGCTTAAAGATCATCTCAAAACTTGTCATAAAAGTTGAAGGGATTGTATCATTCTTATGAAAGTAATCCTATTTGGAATGTTTCAGCTGTATACAAAGTCGGTAATTAATGGACATTTATTATCTCCTACCAGTCTTGCTGTACAGTTCATGAATAAACTAATTCAATAGAGAAATTACTTCATTAGTTAAGCCTTGGTTTTTAACTTAAGCTTCTCTGTGGCCTTTCATGAGCAAGTTTATGTTTACATGAGCAAACTAAGCTCTGCTTAGTTTATGGGTGATTAAAATCCTTGTAATTTCAAATCCCAGAAATGAGGCAGAGCATGTGAGCTATAAGAGATTACAAGAAGCTAACTCTTTCACCAGGATTTTATCTTAAGATCTTTTTTCCTCCAGTTGATATTTGAAAGCTAAAGCTGAGAACACCTTCAAAATATGGTTGGTGTGTCCTTTCTAGAGTGACATAGTGAGCTAAGAGAATGATGTGTATCCTTGGTATTAATGTTACTCCATTTGGCCTCCATAGCTGTATTTCTCAGATATCTCCAGTTACAGCTGTATTTGCCTTGGACAGCTAAGTATTTCTGCTCCCTATATGGCTAGAGATATAACATGGTAATCCAGAAATGGCATATGTCCATCGACTCTGGAGATGTCTCTCTAGTCTAAGCCATCTGTCCCCATCTGTGTTCCCTCTGACAGTTGCTGTCTCTGTTCCTAGGCAATAGGAAGGATTATATTTCTCTTCCTTAGGTAGGAAAGCCACTTCTTGATTTGAGTCCAAGCTGAAAAAAAAGTATCTCCATTATACAGTGCCATGACACTTCCTGAATGAGCAACAATCACCAGCCCTGGTAACTCAAGGACATATTCATATAACCATTTCATGCCCAATACTGTGTAGAGTACATATGTAAACAAATAATCAGAATAGATGATAAAGAAGAGAATATCAAATAGATCTATAAAGAGGTATTGAACATAGAGAAAACTCCTTGTCACCTAATAGGATTAGAGAAGATGGTCTTTTTCTACCAAACACAGGTACTCGGTCTCCAAATAAGCCTCACACTTATATTCATTGGCCACAGTATAAACCCTGAATACCATCCAGTGAATTGAGTGTAGAAAATTATTTTTCTTCTCCTTTCCTTTGGGTTATGCTCTGGACTTCCCACTATCATTGCTGTGTTCTTGGCTTCAGCAAAAAATTCAAGGTCAGGTCATGGTATAAGAATGAATACCAGATCCACTCAATGCTAGGATAAAGGTATAAAATAAAAGATAATGTATTTCCTTCCTTTTCTCACCAGATAAAACTGTGCTGATGAAATTTAAATTATAAGCACATAATAGTTTTAGTTAGTTATTGGATTCTCTTAATGCTTTTATAGAGGTTTCCTTTAGTATACAAAGTCATATTAACTATAAAATGTGTAATAAAGCTAATGCAGTTATCAAATACACTGCTTCTATTTTTGTAATAGAAGCAACTGTTAAATTATTTTTCTTTCAAATGTTAATGGTTTCAAGGACCATGAATTATTTATGAAGGAGATTTTCTTCAATGATGACAATAGTTGTCACAACCCTGTTTTCTTAAATGTTTTTAAAAATTCCTATGCCTATTAGTAAACTAGAAATTTTAAAAATGGAGGGTTTTGATAAATTTAGTGGCAGTATAATTTAATTTTCAGTAAACAAATTAATAGAGTAATTTAATAAGCATTAAATTTTACCAAGCTTCTAGAGTATCTTAGAAATATTAATGGACATGCATACATTTTATATTGCTTTAATTAATGTGTACATTCTAATTAGCATTCTACTTTTTCCAGTTGATATTATTTATACTATGCATTTCCATGTTTAAGGCTAGTTTGCATGCTGCTGCTTTTAATAAAAGTAGTGGTGGTGGTGGTGGTAATTAGAGCTAATGTTGATCAAGTGCCAGATACTATATTAACTACTTAATACAGTTCTTTTTTTTTTCTGTTCAGTATGCTCTATCAGTACTCACTTTGGGTAAGAATATATGACAGTTTATTTAGGTATCATTCTGGGTTTTTTCCAATATTTAGGTTATCTCCAATATTTACATTATTTCCACTATTTTGCTATTAAAACATTTTTGAGTAAATTATTTTCACAACATCTTTTGTGCACATGTGGGAAGTAGAGTCATAAGTATGTACATCTATAATTTGTCCCAAATTTACAAATATTTTCTTAAGATGTTGTACCAATTTATATCCTCAACAGCTGCAGATGATTGTTTCCATTTTTTACATCCTCACCAGTCCTTGGTAATATCAGAGTTGTTGTTTCCCCAGTCTAATGAGTGTGAGATGCGTCTTGCTATTGCCTTAATTTGGATTTTTCTAATTTCTAGTTGTTGCAGAGACATTTATTATTCACTGAATACCCATGCGTTTCCCCAATGTTTCCCAGCCTGGTTGCAGTTAGCTGGGGCCAGCCAGCTGCTTCTGGCCAGTAGGCTGTGAGCAGAAGTGACAAGTGTGGCTTTAAGGGCAGAGAATTGAAAAATTGTGCATGACTCTCTAGCCCTTTCTTACAGTGTAGCAACTAGACAGTGGAGCATGGGTCCCTTAGTGGCTTTTTTTGGAGCAGAGGCCCCCTGTGAAACCACACTGGATTTGTGTCATTACTGAGAAGTAAACCTGTTTTGTTAAGCCACTGAGACTTCTGGGTTAATTTGTACCTTCACTATAATGTAGTCTATCCTGATGAATTTATATGGGCAGCTTTTCATGTGCTTATTAAGCTTGGACATATCTCTGATAATTAATCTGAGTACTACTTTTTCCTGTCATTGCCAATTTTATTATTGGGTTGTTTGCTTTATTTTTTTTTTAATGCTTATTTATTTTTGAGAGAGAGAAAAACAGAGTGTGAGCGGGAGAGGTGCAGAGAGAGGGGGGAGACACAGAATCTGAAGCAGGCTCCAGGCTCTGAGCGGTCAGCACAGAGCACCACGCAGGGCTCAAACCTACAAACCGTGAGATCATTACCTGAGTGAAAGTCAGATACTTAACCAACTGAGCCACCCAGGTGCCCCTGTTTGCTTTTTTCTTAATAATCTCTATGAATTTGTTAGTTCAGTTATATATGTCTCAAATACTTTTTCCCAATTTTTTAGTTTTCTTTTTATATTGAATGTAGTGCCTTTTAATGTATAAGAGCTTTTTATTTCAATGTAGTCAAATTTATTAGTTTTTAGTTTTTGTGTTCTTTATATCTTGTTTGAGAAATCCTCACATACCTTGAGGTCATTAAGAAAACCAACTTTGTAGTTTTCAAAAAATTTTAAATTTTGCTTTGCATATATGTTAGTCTTAATCCATCTGAAGTTGAATTCTTTGTAAGCATAAAGTAGGAATCTAATTTTATATATAAAAATCAATCAATGTAGCATGTCTGTTCAATAGTTCATCTTTTCCCCACTGTTTGAAATGTCCTTTCTATTATATGTCACATGTTTTGTATGTTTTGGGCTTTGTTATTGGTTGCTTTATCTATTTGTTTATCTCATGTTATTATTGCAATGTCCTAATTAGTGATATCTGGTAAAACCAGTTTCTTCAGTTTTTCTTCCCTTCTTGAAAATTATTTTGGCCATTCTTGGTCCATTGCT